GGTAGGGCTTTAGGGATTGGGGGTTACACGGTTTTCCGAAAACGACGACAGTTCTGCGTTTCGCGACCACAAAAAACAAGAAGTCTCAAGCGAACCAAATTGAGAAGTCACAAGCGAACCCCGGGAGAAGTCACAAGCGAACCCTCTACCTTTGTAGGTGGTTTTCGGGTTTAGGGTGTTCTTTTTGTACAACCCTTTGGACTTTTCGTCTGCCCGGCTTAGGGTGTTTAGGGTTTTGTGTTTTTAGGCTTTGGGGAGTAGTTTTTTGTTTATCGGACCTTTTCTCCATGGTACAGCAGCTTTAAGGTGTTTAGGATTTAGAGTTTTTAGGGTGGAGCGTTTCTAGGGCTTAGGACTTTTTGTGGTTTGGGTTGGTGTCATGTACTTCAGTGCAGAACCACCCACCAACAAATGCATAGCAAGCTTCATAAGCCTTCACAGCTAATTTGGCCAAGCGACACCAAAAAAAAGTAGGACGAGATGAGGATGAAAATCCAAGTTCAGTAAGCGAAAAAATCACTTATGGCGAGATTGGGAGGCCACGACAGCAGGGGTCCGAGAGCCGTTTGGCTGATCCCTGCCATGTTTTCGAATCTCATCCTAAGTGATTTGCTTTTCTGTTCCTAGGCGAGCTCCCATCCAACAAAGCTCGTCTCCCGCCTCATTGCCCTTGACAGTGGACGAGGAATCGACACGCAAGGGAACTTCTGCCGCCTGATAGTACTGGGCAATGCTGCTGTACCCTGAGCTTTCTGATGATGCTGTTGTGGCCTTGTCCCTGTTAGAGTCTTAGAGCTGATCGGCCTCCATATTCCTACTAAACTTACTAAACCGTGGCAATACAAAATGCACCCGGCGCCAGGTTCCAAGTGCCATCATGGATTTCTACACGCGCACCCCGAAAACCTCCCAAAGATATGAACCCAATCTGAGCATCTGCGCAAGGCCCCCCGAGTCGTTCCGCTTCAGCATCGGCCTGGGGGGCAAGCATAGCTGCTTTTCGGATCCTTGATGATCCTTCTGATTTGCTCTTTCACAGGAGCCACGGAAACAAAAGCTACTTTGACACTAGGCGCAACTGCTTTACAGAAGGCAGCTCTGCATGACCCGCCCAAAATTCGGACGTGAGGTTCAAGCTCAATTCGCCAAACTTGGATGCCGACCCACCGCCAGATCCCCCTGTGCAGTGGCAGGAACAGCCTGGAACACTGGCAGCATCTTACCAGCTAGTGTGTCACTTGCTGGGATGTAGGGAAAGAGACAGGGAATGAGAAGATTGAACATGCGCGCTTGGATCTACATCCTCTGGGCAAGAGATTCAGTAATCTTCCAAGACAAACCATGATGTTGTCTTCGCCAGGGAGCCAAAATGCGCGTTCGCGCCAGCCGGCCTGCCTTCAGCATTTCCCATCGCGCAAGCTGGGCGACAGTGTTTATGCTACAAGGCTGCCAGCTACTGCCAGGCCATCTCACCTAGGATCAAGTAAGACTGCGTCAACCTTGCACTTCCCATTCTGAAGCATACGACATACGGTTGTTTGCCAAAGACAGGACGTCAACCGGCATCTTGCATCACTACTAGCCGTGCAGGTGTTGGCACAATCTCTGATGATCTTGCAGCTTCCCTAGGTCTGCCTCAACTTTGGCTCGGCACCTGCTCTGTGGCTAAATCTGCTTCCTACTTGCACGTGAAATGCTGAAAGCCACAACGACGACAAGAGTGACCGATCAACCCCTCAAGAGGTCCCCAATCTTTCTAGCATGCCTCCCGCAGATGCAACCACCTATACATCCTTCATGTTCCGCAAGTGAATGCTCTGCTTGAGAAGTGGGGACTGACAGTGCAAACACTCAGCTTCAGATAAGATTGCAAACGTTCTGGACTTCTAATGTGGTCAAGGTGATGACATATGAGCCTTTCGAATGAATCGAAGCATATAACCGTTCCTGGACTTCTATAAAAGCTGTGAATGAATCCCATGAGCGCCCCAGCGTCCCAAGGCCTGGCGGAGAAGCGGGGCTCCTGCTTGCAGCGCCGCTAGATCAGTTCGGAGGGCGCCAGGGCGAAGGGCCTCCACATCCTGCATCATTAAGAACGCGCTCGCTCCGAATTTGGACATCCTAGGCTCTGCAGAGACTCGAGATCATGTGGAGCCGCACGGTTAGGGGTCAGTGCGCTAGAGTGTTGGTATCCACAACAGCTAACCTAAATCCTCTGCTCCTGCGAATCCTTTCTATTTGACGCTGACATTGGCAGATAGCGGCGACTTTCTGCACAAAGAAATTCAAATGCTAGCAAACACCGATGATTCCGTCACTTGTTTGATGCCGCCTCAATCCAGACTTCAAAGTTCTTCTCGGACATCAGCACCCGCGGTAGCTCCTGCAGAGGGCTCACTTAAAGAGCGCAGTCACAAGCCTACTATTCATGCCAGAGGCAGCAGTATGTCTCTGATTACTGTCTGTGCGCGCAGGCTAGCCCAGGCAGCAACAAAATCCTTCGATTGCTCACATCGTGCAGGCATTGTAAGGCTTGAGCTGTCCTTTTTCAAGCTGCTGGTCACCCGAGTCGCTTGAGCATATCAAAGCACAGGCTGCTAAGGATGAGGTGAGGGGGAGGTAGGGCCAGGTTGGGTGTTCTGAGAGTCGATTTGAGCTGTGTCTCTGCGCAGCAGGTGCAACCGGCGCGCGGCTCACTCATCTGCGGATGGTCCCTCACCTGCCCACCAATCATTTCGAAGCAGGAGTTTGCACAGAGGCAACCCAGAAGGTCCGCAGCCGGGACGTCAAATTCTCATCCAAATTTCACATCAACCCCTCGTGAGTCTTGGTCTCTGGACTGAAACGAGGCCAGAACTAGGGGATGCCAATGCTTTACATTGAATGTCTCCTTGGTTGCGGCTTTGAGCGTTCATGATAAGTTGAAGTTGAAAATTATTTCAGAAAGGTTCACGCATAGTGCTTGGCAGCAGAATTTGCAGGACGTTTGATGCTGTGCTTTTGATGGGGCACTATCAAACTTGCCCGGAGGCACACGGCCTTCAATACAATAAAGCTTCGACAGACTTGTGATCGTGGGATTGTGCTCTCAGTGAACGAAAGCAGTGTCATGTTGATCTGCAACCGCTTTTCGTGGTAGCCGCAGGCCGCTCGAATGAGCGCCATGAAGCTCAGGCCACAAGAGCTGTCGGGAACACAGCCGCGGTACGGACGAATAATGCTTCCCTCAAATCCCAAAGGCAACACTGTGACACGCTTGGAAGGTACTAAAATCGGAACTTCCTCTTCATCTTGTCTCCAACACTCAAGACACCGCCTTTGGGAGGAGACGACCTACCATAGCATCCATAGCCAGCTGCGAAGACTTCTGCATACCAGAAGCATGATGAAGCATGTCATTGAAGGGTGCTCAACCAGAGACGAATGCTGGTGGCAGATCATCCAACTTCGCCATCGCAAGCCCTAAGACTACAGACAAAGCGGTGCTGGGCCTGCCACTGGCGCTTGGTACTGGAGAGTGTCCTCGCGCTTTTTTGATTGGAGGGCAGGTTCTATCCAATGCTTCAAAGCCTCCTTTGCCAAACTACAGCTCCTGCATCTCCCAACTGCGCTGCTTCACCAGCATGCCAGGCCTCATCGTCTTCCTCAAACAACTCTGACTGCGCATCATCCTCGCTCGTGCAGAGATATGCAGCGGTCCAGCAGCTGGAGTGTAGCAGCATACCAACATTTACCAACGCTCCATGCGGGGGTTGATGTACAAAACACAATCTTGCACCAGCACGTTTGCATGCATTAAACATGCGTCTGCTCGCCTGCGCTAGCAGGATGTGCTTAGGGTTGCTTGCAGGCCCGGCGCATCTACATAACATGGTATCTGCCCTGAGCTCGCGCTCACAGCCCCACCTGTGCTCAAAGGCCAACGCTCCAAAGTTGAGTCCTCAACATCCGTCACGCCCGGCGATTGCGAAAAGACGACATTCTTCGGAGCTTGAGGGACTCGGGCGGCCTGCAAACAGGATCAAAATCGCACCTGCTTCCAAACTCAAGTGTCCATTTCCAGCCAGGGGCACGCTTCATTCAGCTGTGTGAGGGGAGTAAGGGATTCGACAGCGGCCCTGAAGCTCCTTACTCAGCTCAGGCTACGAAGTACGAATGTGTTCTCTGCACCACTTCCCTGCAAAGAGGTCGTGGCTTGAGCTCGGGAGAGGGTTTGGGGGGGAACTTCAGGAGAAATTCTGACAATCACACATAAGGTCTCCTCGGCCAGAAAATGAAGCCCGAGCCTACCTATAGGCAAACATAGGCAAGGTTGCCTCTGGAGGAGTGTAGCTGGGCGACGCAACCAGGGAGGCATAGGCACCTCCGGTTTCAATATTAAACTTCAAGGTCACCAGTCCCTGCGCACGGCAGCATGGCCCTAGCCTAAAGCATTTGACGTGTGGTGGCATGTATGTTGCAAAAATATCCTCAGCTTCCGAATGCTATGCAACACAAACAGCGGAGCGTGCTGCGTAATCATGCCTTGTGGGGCATCACCAGGCGCCTGCGACGAGGACTCACTGGATTCGCTCTGCTGCTGATGCAATGACATCCGATAAAGTTGTCTGCAGGCCTAGTACTACAAGGAAGCCACGAAATCCTCTATCCTCTCAAGCGGGCGTCCACATGTTCGTGGGTCCGAAGAATTTACACGACCTGAGCACGCACAAAAAGCGCCAAACCTGCACCAAAGTAGAGGATCCCACACCAAACCCTATAAATCCTAAAGAACCCCAAGCCCTACAATAAACCCCGAACAAACCTACGGCCTAATCCCTAAAGAATCGCGAATCCCAAAGAGCACCCAACTCTTCACCAAAATCCCCAAGCACGCAAGCCAAACCACACCCTACAGAAGTAACCCGCAAGGACAAAACCCTCACCCTAAAACTAGACCCCAAAGAACCCAAAAACCTAAACCCTGGAGAACCTCAAGCAATAACTCCTCAAGAGGTCCAAGGCATAACCCCTGAAGCTTTGGTGCCAGCTCCGAGGGTTTTGGACAAGAGCGTTGGTGCTGGTTTCTGACTGCCATCCCTGCTCGTGACTCTCGGCGTTGGTCTTTTTTCGGGCCCACCCTCTCCGCCTCATCGATCACCGGCGATGCCATGCCTGCGTCAGATGCCTCAGAATCCCATGACACCGGTGGCTCAAGCGGTTCTGCAACTTTTTCTTGATGCACATGCAAGAATCCCTTACACAGGTGCCACACACGGGCACTGGCCCACTGTCAACTTGAGAAATGATCCTATCATGCTTGTCTTTTGCAAACACCAGCCTCAGGGTCGGGGCATCGCCAGTGGTAAACATGAAGACCGCACTAGCTCAAGGGCCAGCGTGGAAGACTGATCATGTTGAAACTGTGCCTTCTTAGGCTCTTGCCAGCGTGGAAGACTGATCATGTTGAAACTGTGCCTTCTTAGGCTCTTGCCCCAGCTGCAGATGGCATCACGCTCGGCGAGTATCCTGCCGTCAGCGGATTATGGGCGTGGATTGGAAGTTGAGTCTGTACCCCAAGCTATGCAGCAAACAGCGTGAGAGGCAGGCAGGCAGCCGACAAGGGCAGGAAAGCAGCATTTGACAGCACAAGCCCTCTTCGCTGCTGCCTGGTGTGACCGGCTTGTCCTTCCCAGGCCTCGGCGATGATGAGATCAGATTCTTCATGCTCGTGAAAGCTTGGTCCAACTTTGCCCGGTAGAAGAGACTAAGAGGTTGTGAGAGTCATACAGCATAGCCGTTCACACAATTCAATTAACGCTCCTGCAGTACCTGACATGCCGAGGTAATTTGGAGTATTTGGAGTTATTAAACTTCATTCTTCATTTGTTCAACAAGGCGTTGTCATGCGAGGTCGCTGAAAGGACCAACAGAAGTGGCTTACGATGTTCCGCCGCAAAGCACCTGAAAACAGAGACAAGCAGTCCTGCAAATGCTGTCGCAAGCAAATTTCATTGAATGCTTCAAGGTTTGGCCAGATCGAGACCTTCGCATTGACTTCGCAAAACAAAAGGCGAGTGAGGCTCCAGCATCGGCGAGGTTGGCGTGTACATTGCCGACATCGGGCTGATGCCATACCTAGGCACTTCTGGCACAAACCAATCCCAGCTGCACACCTTTATTCTAGCATATCCAGTCGCAATCATAAGCGCAAGTCAGCCAAGTTTCAGTCCTACACATCCTCCAGACTGAGCGTTCACGCTGAAATTGCAAAATTCAGAGGCGCCCATCCCCTTGCACTTGCGACTCCCACCAACTTGCAACTCGCTCGAAGGAGGCAGCTGTGCGAGTATGAGAGGGCATTAACCATCATCATCCATTGTCATCACTATCCAAGCTAAGCATCTCAACTTCTACGCAATGCAATGGAGCAAGTACACTCGAGCCTGAGCTGAAACCTCTGTCTGTGCGTCGTGCGGGCTGGTGTGTGGCGTGTAGCGGGCGCCTCGGAGCACTGTTTCGGGGTGTCTTTCCAAGGCATGAGACCGGAAACCCTGAAGAACTTCGTGTACTGCAGCAGCACAGCAGCATATGATGCTCTTAGACCAGTATCGTCATTGAGCTTCTTGCTCCCTAACAATCGTTTAGGCAACTCGAGCATACGGTACTACTAGCAGTATCACGCATGTGCACCTGCACCGGTGCTGCATCTCAAGACCGCCTGTAAGGGTACGCGCATATCGAGCAGAAGCAAACAGCGCAAACGATACAGAAGGACCTGCCGCTAAGCAAAGCGGGATCACCAAAAACAACGGAGTCCAGCTCAAACCATAATGCTGCAAAAGCACTAGTCGGCCCTCAGTAAGACTGTCACCACTGTCACACACAGCCTGGAGATTAGCCCAACTTGAACCTTCCCCAAATGATTGCTGGACCCAGCCCATCCAATGGCCGCTAGACTGCTGAATGGATCCAAACGACGTGCAACTCTGAGTTCGGGACTGACATTCTTGTCCTTCCCCGGCGCTGATGGCGCACTGCACAGTCAGAATGGATCAAGCATCTCTAGCAACGTGTGTGCCATGAGCGCGGATTTGCGGATTCAAATGCATGGGCCAGCGCATCAGCTTCCTACCAGCACAATGATGCCCGGCTTCCGAGCTTCACTTCAATTTGTCCAGTGCTTGCACATTTGGTTTTGGGACTGGCCCAATCAATCAACACAACCTCTTGCAGTTGTCTATGTGCTTGTGTTTGCCCCTCAATTTGCTCCACCACTCTGGAAGCTGAGCCCTATGCTCATCACAAAGTTTGGTGAAACAACCGCCCTGCAAATCCGAGCCTCATTGGCGAGGTAGGAGTGTACATCGCCGATCGCTGCGCACCGTACCTCGGATGCAACTGCCCAGACAGCTATACGCAACACAGAGGCAGCCCTTTGGAATCGAGCGCTCTTGAAACTACACATGACTTCGGGTCCTGGCCTCGTACTCACAGGCGTGTAGCCAGGGCCTTTGCATTGTCTCAGGCTGTGCGAAGAGAATTTGGCTGGCCTGCTTCTTGGCAGCCGTTGGTTAGTAATGGGCTGCGAACTGGCTGCTTGAAATAATCAGCAGAATGCTACGTCTACAAAGTGCGTCAATCTGGGCACCCTTTGTGAGCAGGCCCTGAGTAAAGCAATGGCGACTGACGGCTGTCCAGTGTTCGGAACAGGCAGTAGCCAGGCAGCTTATATGCACACGGCTACTTCAGCAAGAGCCACTGCTGCTTGCCAGAAAGGCGCTTGAGTGCGGCGTGGCAGAGAAGCGCTGCGTCTTGTCGCCCACAGAGTATATGGCCGTAGGGCTGCAGGCAAGTTCAGAGAAGCAACAATCCAAACTTCTAGCTGGCTAAGTCCTTCTCAAAACATATCTTGCTTCTTGGTTTGATTCTTAGAGCTGCAGTTTCGGCATCGTGGTGTGGCTCCCAAAGTAAACGAGAGCGCAATCCAGGAGTCTTTCGCGCTAAACATCGGAGACCTGCCCAACCATAGACTGATGGTTCAAACTTCGACTTGCCTCAGCGCATGGAATTCTAACTGGACCCAAATACGCAAGAGCTCCTTGGCCTATCTTTGGAGGGTCTGGACTGCCCCTCCACTGAAAAGAACAAAACTGAGGCTTGGGTTCCACAACGCTGGCCTTGGGGAATAAGTTGGGCTGGGGATCGCGTACTCTTCCTTCTTCTTGTCCTCCTTCTTCTCTGCCTTGGGCACAACACAACTGTCATGTTGGCTCTCACGGGCACTTTCCCCGGTATGACAAGTGGCTGCCAGTTAGCGACGGATGTTTCCCAACACACGTGAGGCATGTGAGGCCCAAGCTTGAGGCACAAACTTTCAGGTAGGCTTCCTGCGGGAGAGTACTCCGCACTGGCGGGGGAGTAGGCAAAGGCGGAGAAGGGGCTGGCCATTGTGAAGTCGGTTCGAGCAGGCGTGTACCTCCTCAGGCTGGCAGGATACAAGACTTGCGTCTAAAGAAGGTCAAACCACATGACATGACATGACATGCATGGTGTGTAATTCTAGTTCAGGGCCTCAGGTTGTGCCCTGCAACTGTCAGCTGCTTTGGCTTGCAAAATACTGTAGGATGGAATTCAGGGCATCCTTTCATTGCGGAGCATGTCTCATGTGCTGTTGGAATTGGCATTGCATGTGCCAGGACTGCTTTACCGCAAATCTCCTCTTTGCCTCACATGAGTGTTGCTGGTCAAGCACTCCATGGGCAGCACAGCCCTTTTTTGTCCCAAGCAGCATATGTGGAATGCGTCATACAAGGCTCACTGGAGGTTGCAGCCATAAAATTGAGCCCTTCCCAGAAGCTCTGGTTCGAAAACAATGTCGATGACCCTCCTTCTTGAACCTCATGAGCTGAGCGCGCCGGAGCCCATCCAAGAGGTCCAAACTCTCTTGCCTACGCCACGGCAACGGGTTCATGATGGGACTCTTTGCAAATCGTAAGTGGATTGCGAAATTCAGCCCGGCAGTAGCCTAGACTTCTATGGACTTCAACGCATCCTGTCAGGAACCGTTGACCTTACTGCGAGTCCCGTCATCTGGCCCGGCAGCACTCTGCGGAAACCACCGCCTCTGCCCTGGTTCACGGCAAGTCCCAAACTTTGTCTACTGCAACATCCTTCATCCGAAGACGGGCATCACCTACACCTAGTGTGTCATTGCCTGCAAACAGCATAGCAGGCATAGCGGCGAGCAGAGAAAGGCCAGTCAGAGAGTAAAAGGGTGCGGATGGTATAACTTCCTGAACCTGATACTGAGCAGTCTAGACTGGAGGGCGGAACCGTCGAAATACATTATTGCATTTGGTAGGGCAGCATCAGAGAGGCATGTGGTGGCCTGCCTTTCGTTTACGGGATTTGTCAAAAGTGATTCTGAAAGCAAGTTGGGAAGCCTGCTACTTCAAGATCTGCACACACTTGACACACTTGGATGGCTGACGGCTCTGCAGCCGGCAAAGAGGCAATGAACGGTGGGTTCCGCTTTTTAGGCAGCGCTTTGCTTAAAAAGTCGACGGCAGCGAATCGATTCTTCCATGGGGGCACAGTGCATGGGCTTAAGTACGATTGCGACACCAAAGCTTGCTATCTAGCATGGTCAGGCTGAAGGGACCGCCCCCAGAACCCTCAAGGCTCTAAGAGTTATACAAGAAATGAGAACCTCTATGAAGGTTTCTTGCATCCATGTTCTGGCGCTGCTCCGACCTATCATGTGCTGCTCAGTTGTAGTACACCTGGCACGAGGCACGAGCATGAGTCTGCCATTCCGTCTTTGGGCCATGAACTCCCTGCACCCTGCGCCTTGGCAGGAAGTTGGCCCAAAAAGCGATCTCGGCTGAACTCGGCGTTCCGGCCTGCCATGCTTTGGCTGGGTGGCTGCAATACCGCTGATCTACACTGCAGGACTGGTGGATGCGTGCGCAGTCAGAGCCCGAAACTAACTTCAACTGCAAAAAGTGCCTGTGGCAATGTCGCCAATGACGCGACCTTGGGGCTGGAAGTGCTTTAGAGTAACAAGTCAGGCTAAATCTGTCAGCCAGGTGCGGACACTGAAATTTGAAATGCTTGCACAAACAACTGCACTTGGTACTAAGTCAGTATCCATCCGTGTCACCTTTCTACTGAGTCGGCCAAGGCAGTGGCCGATGAAAGTTCCACCTCAGCAATTGCGGTGCCGTTGACAGCCCACCAGAATGACTACGAGCTCACGTGGATAAAGCATTCCACTCATTCTGGTGGCAGTTGCTGCTAGTACTCTGCCATGGGTGAGCAGGAGCTGTCCCACTACTTTCTGATGGCACTGACCTGTGCGCAAGAGGTCTGTCGCGTTGCTTCTCAGCTGTGGCGTGTAAGAGTCTTCACAGACATGACCCAAGCTCGGCGCCGTAGAAGATGAAGGGCAGCGCAACAAGGCGCGATTGGTAGTTGTACCTGCGTTCAGTGGCTGGGGGCTGCCCGATGCTTGGGGATTCTGATGGAGATTGGAAATAGTGTTAACCCCTTTAGAGACACCTGCACTTTCTGGACCCAACAAAACTTTCTTTCCTTCTTTCTTTCCGGCTATGGAGTGGCAAGTGGAGTTCAGAGGCGCGATTTCCAGCTGTGAAGCCCAACAAGGGCTGGGCAATGAAACCCAACAAAACTCACTCTCTTCTTCTTCTTCCTCTTCGGGCTGAGCCCCCCCCTTACGGGGAGGCCCGGGTGCAACCCCGAGCCCACGCGCATGGTTCGGTCTGGTCGGGACCGACAAGTCTATGGATTGCGGTATCCGCTTGCAGCACACCCCCAACCGTATCCCTACCGATCAAACTCACTCTCTCTCTCTCTCTCTCTCTCTTCCTACATCTCTTCCTCTCTCCTCCTTCTGCACTGGCGGATGGGTGATGGCCTGCGGAAGGACCACCACGTCAGCCCAGCCATGGTCAACCTGAGAAGACAAGACGAGGAGAGGAGAGCGCGTTCAAGTTTTTCTGAAAATCTGACTTTTTGAAGGGCTCCCGGCGCAGTGTCCCACATGAAGTTGGTGGCCACTACCTGCAAGATCTGCACAAGTGCGAGACTTACGACTGGGGGCGGGGGAAGTTCAAACGTTGAAACCTATGTACCACTCCACCAGAGCACCTCCTAAACAGAATTGTAACTTCCGAGAGCATCCGAGAGCTCTCGGACCCCCCAAACCAGGGGGACCCGAGATCTCAAGACTAAGAGTTTGGGGAGTGCAAATGTGCTTACAGGTTCGGAAGAGCTTTTCGTGCTCCAACGATGTTGCACCCGTTCTCCAAATGCTGTGCTTATGTCCCAAGTGCAATGTGCCCTAATGTACGATCCACCTCACCAAGCTCTGGATTCATCCGTTGCTAGAAGCGGCACGTGCAAGTCTCTACGCCAGAGAGGCCTCCTTTCGAACAGACTCCTGCACAGTGGCAGTCACAAAGGTGAGTGTCTGCAAAGTCTGGGGTCATCTGAGTTTGAGCAACAAGAGCCAGCTCCAACGAGTCGGCTTGAGCACTGCTCGACACAAGCGGTAGCAGGTCCTGACGGCGAATGCAGATTTGATTGGCCTCCGAGGTGTCCTGGCCAAATGCGTAAAGGGTATGCAGTTCAGCCTAAAACGTGCCGAATTGTCTCATATCAGGCATATCAAGTAAGGCTTCTTCTGCTCAAAGCACTTTCTTGCGACAACATCCTCAATGAGTCTCCCAGCACTAAACAGAAATCTGGCCAGGGCCACATCAGGATCGTACTTACGAGAGAGGATCTTGCGCTTGTCCCCCTTGTCCAGCCTTGCCAGTGGAATTACAAGAGCAAGTTGACAGTCTTCGCATGCGAGGCTGAGTATTGAGACGCTGACAGACTTGTTCTGGAATGCTTGCGGGGGCCATGAGGCTTGCTCCGAGTCATTCCTTCTCTGACACTTCTGCTCTTTGTCATGCTTAGCTCCCCACTTGCTGTAGTGAAGATGGATCATGGGAGCCTCAGCTTGAGCTCTGCATCCTGTTGCGACTGCAAGGAAGAAAACGCTTTTTAAAAAAAAAAAAAGAGCAAGCTATTCTTGGATAGCGAAAGACCCACAAACCAAGGACTACTGCACAGGATGCTAAGTTCTCGGCCATGCCAAGGAGACCAGTGCTCTCCCAGGGATACAGGCGGCGCCTGCGCCAGAGGCAAGAACAAGATGTTTGCAATGACTACCTCTGCATGCCCAAGGCATGACAGTGCAGGGTGGACCGGCTTCATCATCCCTCATGTTGACGAAACAGCTTTCATGGGGTTGGGCCTTCCAATCGTCTTCTTCTCCTCAATGATGGTGATGTCCGAAGGAACCACCTGAAATCCAAGAGGAAAGGTAATTCAACTCGGGACATAGACAGTCCATTTCGGGAAATGTCACTTCGGTGCAGATTGGGTGTCATGGTGCTGTTCCAGTGACCTTAGCTATGTTGGGCTGAGATCGGCACAATGCTTGCCATGGCTTTGAATATGGAGTGCGAGAAGCCTTGGCATCCAAGGTGAGCTCCAAGCCAGCTGCAACATGCTGCAACTATGGGCCAAACGGATATGATTTGTGGCCAGAACTCACACAACGCCTGCTGCAGGCAAGAGGCGTTCACCAAGGCAAGCGCAGCACGGCGTAGATCAAAAAGCGCTGAGCCAGAGCAGCATCCGGGCGTGATGTGAGTCTGGAGCACCAAACACACAAGCAGCTTTGCCAATTATCCCAACAAAATCTTCAGACCACGATGTTGGGCAGTGGCTACTGTCGCAATGAAGCTACCCGTGATGGAGAACTCTCCGTGAGCACTGAGCAACAATCCAGTTCAGACAAAATCCGCAGAACAGACCAGCTGAAGCGCGCACCCGCTGTAAGGAGTTGGTCTCGGCGTTCCCTGCGCACGCGACAAGCTATCATGGACCTGCATTGGCATTCGATTAACATACATCGGATGCTCAAGTATGTGTAAGCACTGCAATTTCTATCAGATAGTTCATTCCTCCGTGTGCCGAACAAATTCTGCAGGTTTCCAGGTCCCAAAAGATGCACGTCCAGATAAGCTCTGGGTGTCTGGCCCGAGCTGACAATGGCGAAGGGCCGCCAGCCACGCTGAAAGGAGACCGGAAGGCACCTCCCAACATACCCTGATTCAAATGGGACATTTGTACATCAAAAGTCGGAATCTGACCCTTGCGCTTGATGATTGAAAAGCTCCCACCGCTTGAGCCCTCACTGTTGACCGGGCACCGAATCGACAAAGAGGAAAAGCTCTTTTCAATGAACGACGAGTAGCACCTGGTGAAGACTTTGACGCCACACTGCATATCTCCTTTCCCTGATGTGACTCCAAATTGCATCTGCCCCAGCTGCTATACAACATCAAACTGCAGCCACGGACCTTCTCCCAAGTCACCAGGAGAGTCTGGCGTGACCTGTCTGGCAATGCTCACTGCCTTGTCTCGCTGACTGCGCAATGGTAAAACAATGTAAAACGCAAGTCCACCAAGTCTTTTGCGACAGCACTGGTGAATATTTCGAATGTCTCAGAAAATTTATAAGAACCTACATAACCGTTACATGACTTTGCATAAGTGCGCTGCAAAGGCTCTCTGAATTCTACGTGAATCCGGCCAGTGCACGTGATACTCTGCTTATCAGATGCTTTAGGAATCTGCAGATCAGATGACGACAGTCTGGAGACGAGCTTCGGCGACGCAGCATGATTTTGAAACGTAATCAACTCGCAGCGCATCATGCATACGAACAAGAGCCCATGCGACTGTCCAGCAGCGGAGTGTTATGCACGCAGCCTTGGAAACAATAACTGCCACCACATGGTGTTGTAAGCCTGAATCTACGAACATTGCACAAAGCACGCAGTGCACAGGGTCTGTTTTCCACCTCCGGGGTCGGCATATCGGCGTAGGTGCCTGACACAGGAGAGTGGTGAGCCCATGGAAGCTCAAAGTATCCAAATCCAACCCCAAGAGAAACGGACTACAACACGCTGTGCGCCTGCAGTTGTGGGAAACATGCCATTGATCATTACCTGACGAGCGAGCAGGACACATGAACGGCTGCGTCCTTCAACATTGGCTGCACTACGCACTTCCGGTGGAATCTTGCAGAATTCAGATCCAAGCAAGGCATGAACCTAAAGCGCTTGAAACAGAGGCATGCTTGTCTGGACAAGCTAAGCTTGGCCTCGTCCTCGTGTGGCGTCTCAGCCTTCCAAACACGACGTCTGAACTTCATTCAACTTTATCACCTGTCAGCTTGGAATTGAGTCTTGAAGGATGACCCTTGATATAGGGGCCATATGGGGCTTTGGCTGCACAGCTCCCCCTTCCCGCTGCAACTTGATTCCTTCTCTGCTGGACTGCAGACTGCTTGGACAACCAGCTTGCATGAGCTGGGATGCTGACATTGTTTTCAGGGTCGTCGTCATCCAGGAGCGGATCCGGCGTGTTCACCGCGTAGTACTGGCCAGAAGCGCATTTCTGGCTTTGATTGCGCTGGATGGCGTATCACTTAGCGGCCGGCACAAAACTAAGATGACCCTCTGCCAGCAAGCAGCTACAGTCAGGCTCACAAGGTATGGACTGCTACACCTGTCTGGAAGCGTACCGGGCCTGGCACCGCCTTACACCTCTAGACCCTTCGCTATGACTGCCGGCCTCGCCAGACTTGGATTTGCTAGGGAGCACCTGCAAGCTACAGAAAGAGTGTCCGAGCTTAAGCGGTTGGACGTTGCTTGTTCGGCTGCACGGAGACTGTGATGCCATACTGGAGGTCCGCCCTATTTTTACAGAGGTTGGGAGATAGAGAGGGTGGGCGCACGGGTGCTGGGCAAAGACATTCCATCCAGGGTGTTGAGCGCAGAGGTCCGCACAATGGTGGCATGATCCAACGAGCATAGAGGCTGGTTGTTCATCTCCGGATCCTGCAGGCATGCCTCTCTTGCTTACCAATCTTGAGTGTCCTGTGGGCTGATCATCTTCCATGCTCTAGACAGAAAACCTCACAGCCTTCGCCCCCAAAACCCAAGCGGCTCCGCTGTCTTCATGTCATCCATGTGGACATCAAAGCTGCCAGTACCAATCTCGGCAGTCGAGACAGATGCCGACGCTATAGAATGCTAGACTTGCCTTAACCCCACAGCCAGCTGCATGCAGGTCGCGTCAGGTCACCCGAAAGTAAGGAGACGACTGGAACCAGCTGGCCGAAAATGATGTTTTCGGACACAGACCGCATGTGGTCCGTCTGCGCGAGCGCGGAGTTTTGAGTAAGGCATGGAAGTTGACGAGCAGAGAGAGGTGAAATCCTGTGAACCAACCAAACCGGCCTCATGGTACACTGCTGCATCCATCAGGATTTCGACCTGGAGGGATAGCACGCTCTGCAGGGAAGGGCCTAAAAGATCGCAATGCCGCATGGGCCAGCCACGAGTCCAGCAGTTGCAGCATCAGTGAAGGGCCTACCCCTTGACTAAAGCCAGCTATTGGGACGCACGTAACAAGTCCGAATAAAGGATCGCGTGCCATTTCTCAAATCGCTGGCCAACCAGAAAAGGGCAACAGGCAGTGCGATACTGGAAACCGATGATCCTGGAATTAGTGGTCTGCTAAGGGCATGAAAATCCAATGGCTTTCTAGGGCTGCACCGAGGCATGCAGAGCAAAGCATACACCAGAATTTGCGCAAAGAGCCAGAAGACTTGCTATGACATCAGCACACAGCTTCAGGCTGCATTGCACATGTTTTGCAGACTTACAGACACTTAAGACCACTCCAGCCACAGTTCCCTAAACCTTTTGCCGCCCTCATAGAATAGTAGAAGGTTTCCAGCTGCCTCGTACTATCCTCCGGGCAGAACGACTTAGACTTTTACCATCGTATCCTTCAAAGACAAAGCCAAAACTTGGTTGCCGTGCCGTTTCTTCAAAGCTGCCTCAGCACAACTGTGCCGCACACTGGTTGCTTGACTGCCCACAAACAGGAATGCACCACGTGGAAACCCAAGAAGTTTCAACCTGCATGCCCTCCTGCGTCCTCGATGCACTTTGACTTGCTTCCGGGCAAGAGCATATCAGTGAGAGAGGCTTCCAAGCTCTGGGCACTTCATCAGTGGGCCCATGTTGGTTCGGTTCACACCGTGGCGTGTGATAGCCATAAGGTGCCTCACATCAAGCGAGGCAAGCAAGGTTTTAAGCCGCTGGCGCTTGACGCACAAAGCTCACCTATAGCTACCATGCTTTCTAGCCTGAAAGGTGTACACTATATCTAGGGGCCACGCCCACGGTTCGTCATGACGTCACACATCGTGCCCAAATGCCTGTAGTTGACCTTGCGGATGACGGGGCTGAGCTGTCTCTCTCTTGGTTTCACAGCACAGCCTCTGCCCCAAAAGCTTTGAGCTTGCGCTGGCAGCAAGGTATCCAACGTAGCTGGTCAAAAAGTGTGAGCAATGCCAGATAAGGCGTACCCAGTGAAGTCAATTCATGCATGGACAGCTAGGACTGTGGGGAGCCATGATGCGGACCTAAGGTGCCGCTCTGGGTGGGGAAAAGAGAATATGTGCAGGGTCAAGCCGGTCCCTCGCATAGCATGAGGATTGCAGGGCTAAAGCCACCACAAATGCTCTTACATTAGTTGGAGGACACGGTTTACCGTAGTGAGTTACGCATTCGTACCGGGAACGCCTGCTCCACAAATACAATCTTACATCGATGCAGGTGACCGTCACTAAACCATTCCTTTCTCGAACTGTGACAAGCGAACTGTGACAAGTGCCCTTTGCTTGAACTAGTTGCCATGTCCTCTGTGGAAGACACTGAAGCCCCATGTGATTATCCATGGGGTCCTGCTGAAAGAATGCCGCAAAGAAAAGATGCATATCGCACGCTCCAGGGCTCATGCATAAGAGCCATCGAAGGAAATGACCATTCGGATGTGGAATAGCAGGGCCTTGTCCACAAAATGCTGCGCCCATGGCTGACTTACACATCTTACACTTAATGCTGGCAGTCTCTGCTGTTTGCTTAGATTTCACAGCATTGCAGAATCTATTCGCGATGAGTTTGGGCTGGCCGCCTTTCGTGTTGCCTCGATGCCGAGCACATTGAGGATTTCAACAATGTCGTTGCTCTGAAGGCGTTTGAAGTCCACCTACATCAACACCGCTGCAGAAGCCGCAGTGGCCCGGAATGTGTGTCTTGCAGATCCCAATACAGGAGAGTTTCAGTGGGCTGCCTCCTCAAGAAGCATAACCTCCTCCATGTTGACCTGGCACAGGCCATGTTTGCCAGCATTCAAGCATACTGCACCCTTAGAGCCTAGCTCAACAACCAAACATGAACAAAGCCAAGCGGAAATGATCGCACGCTCGTGCAGTAGCAACGGCTGACAAATGTGGTTGACGGAGATGCTACGCACTGGTCAGGTGCAAAACTATTGGCCGCAGAGTAGAAACAGAACGCTCAGAGGAGCAGACATACCAGAAAATAGTCCAAGCAAATCCTCGTGAGAAGTCCCAACCAGCTGGAGATGCCCCATCTGTGTCGAGTACCCACTCCTGCGATCGCTCAAATTTCCCTGTCTTCTCGTCGTACCTCAAAGTCAGAGACGTGCACCCCGGATAGACTCTGTAAATAGCTGTCGGGCAAACAGCTCTACTTGGGCCCAACATGTGGTAGCAAGAACACCTCCGTTGCTAGAGGGCACGTGAGAACAGGGTTGCAGGAGATGCGGCCATGGCATGCAGCAGATACTGAAAACCGGAACATGGTCAGCAAGACAGTCCACCCTATCCATACAGACTGCACGCGAAACAAATGTTGAGGTCTTTGATGACGGGCACTTGGTCACCTTGTCCTCACGCATAAACACCTGAACATCCAAAGCACTCTCTTCATGCTCATCTGAGAAGTTCAAATCGGTACAACTTCATTCCTCCGCTGGCTGCAACAAGAATACTTGCGCACTGCAACAAAGGCCATCGGTGGAGGTCACGTCATCCATCTCGCGCTTCTTTTCAGACGGCTACTTCCCCGAAGGTGACGCAGTTTGCGATGCAAACAGCTCCAAATTCCATGGTTCATCACGACACGTCTAGAGAATAGTGAGGGGCCAAGACCAAGAACAAACACCCCAAACAACTTCAGACCCAGAAAGTGGTTGCTGCCAGCCTTCTAGCAGCGGAATCTTCCTGAAACAATGCAAACCCTTCGGCATGCTTGGCTTGGCCTTCTTGATGCCCTCAATACCCTTCAGCGTCATCTCCTTCAGGATGTTGGACTCAATTGTCCTGCCAGCAGCTTTCGAAGAAGAGTTTGAATCTGGCGAGCGGGATCGTTTGCGCGTTCAGCTCCAGGGTCATGTGTCAAGCCATGGAAGCCATGCCGAGCCTGAGGAATCTGAAGTTCTTATCCTCGGTATCATCCCTGGGGTCATAGGGCCCCGGTGCCTCGAGTTTGCAGCTTTGCAGCAGCTGCACTACGAAATGTCCATCATGCGCATCTCATACCGGGCCCAAAGCAATGGCGCGTTGCTTCGTTCTACTTCATGCACCCGCAGCAAACAGGCTGCTGAAGTCAAGAAGCGGTCCTAAAAAATGGCTACTGAGGCTGAGGCAGCACCAATCTGATCAGGCTCCTGAAAGGTGGCACAGTGGATGGAGACCGATGGAGACCCAGACACACACCCCTTCAAAGCCGCTTTTGGAAACCTTAAAAATTCCGGAGCACTCAGTTGGCCCCATCCTGCCAGTAGTGTGATCCCCCCTATGCTCTCCATGCCCGACATAAAGCCAGGTCAATTGGGGGAGACGCAGAAACACTACGCAAACTTGTCTCCCTGCTGAACCTGCTATGACAGAAGCAGAGAAACGGAAAATAAAGCAAAACAACCCCTCACACCTCTCCCCCAACGACAGGAAGTAGTGTGAGGACTGGAGCGTTCTTGAAGGCAAATGCAGGGTCCTTGAGCAGTCGGATGCGCAGGACCAGCTCCTCGGCGTTGTCGTCTGTAAAGATGCCTTTGCGCCAGCGGCACTCGTTTGAGCATCCAGGCTGTGAATCTGCTTACAGGCAGGTGCAAGCTGGTGCAGTCTAGCAAGGTCGTACACACTTTGCAGCCCAGTGGACAGTCAAGGTCATTCTGGAAGTCGCGGAGGATGCGCTCCCCCACCTGCAGGCAACTGCTGCTGCAAGAAACTGCAGGAAAAACAACGCATGATGACCCACATGCATTTGGGACTCTGATGGGGCGCCCAGCTGCATCCTCTAAGATTCTAGGCAACGGCTCTGCTTGCACCAGCGCAGCACTTGACAGCAGCACCACCACGCGGCCCACAAGCCTCTCGCACTGTCAGCTTTTTGTCGGTCATGACCTGCTTGGGATAGAGACATGATGCGGAAAAGTTGAATTCAAGTGATGCTGTAGTGCAAATGCCGTTGCTGTCCACTTCTCTGGCCTTGTTACTCAGCTGGATGCGGAGCAACCTGACAGCAGAGGCTTGAAATGCATCAGGAGAGCCTTCGATCCCAACGGCGGTTTCGCTGTGAAGCACATGTTGAAACTTAACGTGGTGCGGGCTGTCAAGTCTGAAGAATCCTGAATCCTGACTGAAATGGCCAAGGCTGGGGCCATGGGCCGCAGCGTTGAGGGTTCTCATCCTCGTCTGGTAGCTCGTAGTACCTGCTCAAGATCCGCTTTCATTGGATATCTCCCGACTGCTTAGGTTTCTTCTGCTGTCCGACGTTCGGATGGGGCACAGGGACACCCACTCCTGATCCTCCTCGACGAGTGTGTGCTCTGGATCGGGATCCCAGAAGATCTCAGGACCGGTCGCAATTTTTGTACGAGTCCATTTTGACTAGCATGACTGGCTTTGAGGAGGAAATGTCTTTGGACCTCAAGCCCTCTTCTTTTAATTACAACTTGTCCGACCTGCACACCCTGGCTTGTTGAGCCTAATTCAAGTGCAGCTGATGAATTTGCTCAAGGCCTGAGTGAAAGAAGTCACCTTCTCGAGGGTAGTGTGCTCGAGCATGCTCTGGACATCCTGGGATCAACGCAGATGCAGATGCAAGCGTTCCAGTTGGTTCCTCAGCAGACGCGACTTGAGACGGGATTGATTGAGCTGGTCCTTGGCGCGCTCCTGGTTCTGGCCCAGGTCTCCGCTGAGGTACACGGCCTGCGCCGCCAAGGACAGCTAAGACCGCTTCGGCTGGTCGGCACAGGGATTACTCACCGATTGTTGCGGAAACCACGATGCATAAAAAGCACGGAGGCTGAGGTCAAAGCCAGGGAAGGCGTCTTCACTTTCTTCGCCACATTGATCAGCTCCTGGATTTCAGGTCAGAAGAGATGCGGTCCTGTTGAACTATGAACCTGGGCAGCAAACAGAAAACATCATACCCGTCTTACAGTTTCTCGCTCTACATCTAAGACCTGAGACTTGCCACGGGCCCAACTTAGACTGGATTGTACTTCGTCCGAAGCTGCTCTAACTGCCCATGTTAGTTCGGTTCATTTGTACTGTCCAGGAGGCCACTCCCAACAGTCCCAAAGGATGTTTCGATGACAGTTGCCTTTGGACCGGTCGTTCATAGTCTCTTTCCAACAGGAATAGACATGCATGATCTGTACAAAAGCCATGGCAATAAACTGTTGCTCGCTTTGACATGGGTGCAACAAAACCTGCCAAAACAATGCAGACCACAGCAGCTATCGTCCTTCAACCGCGGAACCCCCAGCGTGACGTTTTTGGCGCCAACCCCGGCGAAGTGGAAGGTGTTCTGCGAGCATGCTGAAGTGTCAAAGGAAGCGGCGACAGTGTCAATCACGGCATCCCATGAGCTTCCATGGCTGTCGCATCGTATCAAGTTACAATACAACACAGCTAGACAGCCACAAGAGCGGCACATCACAATCATTAACAACCCAGGGTGGCATGTCGATGTTGATCAGCGTGGGGAAAAAGACGGTCTGTGATGCGGGGACAGCTTGCATAATAGATCTAGAGTCGAAGACGAAGATTGGTGAAGACTCCCTCCAGCAACACCCAGGGCGTGCCAGCGTCATCTGCGTTGCCGGTTCTCCGACACCTCGCAGGCACCAAGTATTTGCTCCACAGCGCCCGCACTTGCAGCACGTGGTACATACAACGCCGCGAGATGAGTACTCCAAAACCCTGCGGGCTGTGCCGTAGCAGCAAGAATCCACAGCTGCAGGAGTTGTAGGGCATTACCAGCAGTTTTTTCGTTGTGTAACTTGCCCTAGCAAGGCTTTTCCAATCAGTGTGGACACAGGCAGCTACTGTCAATGAGAAATTGTATTTTAGAGCCTGAAGCGCAGCAGCAAGTCAAGAAGCTCAGAGGCAGACTTTGCGCTGCTAGCGTCCCAATCACTTCACCTGGCAGCAAAAACCACAGACCAGCTCGTCAAAGTAAGGCAGCTATTACTTTTCTGTCCAGGCCGTACAGCATGGAGGCCAGGCTCCGCTATCTTTGGAATGTGAAATCTGATGCCACCAGAAGCAGTAGATTTCTCAGTAAACTGCTTCCGCAATCAGAACAGGCAGCCAAAGTCCAAAGCGGTAGTTCAGTAGGCACCTTGGACCTAGATAATAACTAAGGGGCTCATTTATGTAAAAGTCTATGTTGGCGGGTTAATGGTAGGGCAAAAAGCTATTGGCTTTAAAGGCCAGGACTTGAAACAGATAGGCCAAGATCTATTACCCAGCAGTTCCTATTCTCTACGAAGCCAAACTAAGCCGAACCACTTGCTGTCCTGCCCTCTGATTGCTAATTTCCTGATTTTCACTTCAAAGGGACTTCCCTCGTTCTGTCTAATAGGAACGAAAGGATAACCCAGACATCCCCGATTTCCCCAATTTGTCTTGGGAGTTCTCAATAATGGAAGCCGCTTTCGTTTGGAGGGGCCCGCACAAATCAGAATCCAACATTGGAGTTGAAGACAAGCGCACTGTGCGATGCCGTTTCTCCACTGCAGTTCCGTCCTCTCGACTATGATTCCTGTGAAGCAACCAATGAAAGTGCGGGAGGTTTAGCCAGCATGTCTGACGTTGCCCCGCTGTTGCAGCATTGCCAGACTTCACAGCTGACCAGCTCCTGCGAAAGATCCAGCAGGCTGATCAAGTCAGCGCAGCACTTTGCTTCAAAACATTGCTTCAACTGCTCCGTGGCGAAGCAGTGACACAGAAAGCCCGCGCGCACACTATGAACCTGGGCAATCACGCAACTGCCCCTTATTCCAAGTGCGTGCGGACCTTTTGCATCCCACCCTGCTCTGCTTGCTGTACAGTTATGGTACATCTTATTGCGACCTCACAAGCAAGCCTCCGCCTGCATGGGTTGGCTGCAAACCCGGCAATTCTGAATTCATTTGGTAAAAACATGTGTTGCTCCCTGGGGACCAGTGCTTGAGCCTGCGAGGTCAAGAATCCCCGCATGTGAAACCAGACATAGAAAAGAGATGCTTTTTGCTCTCTTTGGCTGGGGTCACCCCATCTCTGCCATGGCTCGGGGCTGGGACTACAAGGCTGCAGGGCGTCCGCCATGAAATCACATACTGAGCTTGCGCTCAGGTTAGTTGCGAAGTTGGATTCTTGAAGAATTGCTGTTTGAGATCAGCGAGGCCTTCCAAAAAAAGGTGCGGTAAGCATGTGCTGTAGCAACGGAACTCAAGTTCTGACGGGCCCTTGAAACATAGGTGCTGTGTGTGGCGAAGCCAAACGAACGCTACCAGCCTGAAGCCTTATGACACCGGCGCTGATAGCTGTCCAGAATTGCTTAACTCTAGACCTGCAAGAGATCCATGACAATTTTGATAAACGTATTAAACGTATATTCCTTGTTCATACACACAGTCTAGTGCCGCGGGAAGCGCTGTCGCTTCAGCCGCAAGCCCTTGAATGCCACGAGTTGTCGTGCAATGTGCAAGCTGTTGAGTTGTCACCTGGCATATCGAGGCAAACCTGACAATACTCCTCCGCATCTTGAACCATGTATATAGCCAGGTGACAGCCCTCTGCGAAGGTTTCTACAATGGAGAGACGGACTGACATGAAATCCATTAAGCGCTTTGCGGATATTTCAACACGAACACAACTGCAAAATCTTGAGAACACACTCTCTCCAGACAGAAGCCCTCGAGATCTCACAGCCGTGCCTGTGCCTGTGCTGCCGCTCTGAGCTCGAAGGAACCACATTGTAGCAAGGCAGGTGGGGCTCATTGAGGATTGGCAAGCTTTTTCTGGAGGCATGAAGTTCGACCTGCCATTGCAGTTGCTGTGACTGGGGCAGGGCTTTAGGCAGCCATCTGGTCGCCTATTCCGCTGTGATCAATGTGGGTTCCTTACGCATAAGCCTGACGCGAGCGTTCCCAGTGTGGCGGGGCACCGGCCGCGCTTCGGCCTGGGTGCGAGTTTCGTCAGCTGCGCCGAATTCTGCCAAGGGATTCGATTGCGCTTGGGAGGACATGTTACCATCCAGCTATCTCAAGCAGACTGTTCTGAGCACTTGAAGCTGTACAACTCAAGCATGACCCAGATCACCAGTTGGTCGACCCTAGAGAGCCGGATCGCTACAGGTCTATAGTCAGAGAGAGAGAGAGAGAGAGAGAGCGAGAGAGAGACAGAGCGAGAGAGGCAGGCAGGCGGGGAGGCAGACGATCCAATCTGGGAGCACGTCGCGTACCAGAAAATTCCTCCGTGCAAGCGCTGGAAACCCATGAATTTCTGCTGCGTGGCCAGACACAACCTGAAGTGCTTACATTAGAGTGGGGCGTCTGTGTCTTCCCGGGCCTGACACCTCAGCGATTCATCCCTAAAATGACTGCATCCCCCACAGGTCGAGGTGGTCTGCTGACTTTTGGTCAGGGCCGCATCCTAGAACAACAGGTAAACAATCTTCCCCAGCCAAACAATCTTCCCCAAAATGGAAAATCACCGCTGAAAGTCAAGAGCCCGTAAGATACACTCCAGCCCCTGGCGTCATCAGTCGAGCTCTCGTCAATCGGCGAGTGAGCTACCGTATTGTATTCTTCTGGCTGGTAAGACTGCTTCCCATGTAGCATGTAGAAGCTGTATTCAAAAAATTGACTTACTTATCAGAATAGTTCTACTTGTACAACTCTCCTTTGATGTTGATGCTCTTGCCCAGGAAGGCCAGCACACCGCGGGCAAATCACCTCACAGCCGTCCTTGAGCCTGCCAGAATCAAGCGATTGGATAGTGGTTTGAATCTGATCTGCAGTGCAAAATCAGAGGTGTCCGCAGAAAGTACAAACCAGACTGCCCTGAAGTCTCCGCGACCCCGCCCAATTCCTCAGGCCATCTGGATTGGCTTCGCGACGCGCCAAGCCTGTGCAGAGAGCTACCGTGCAGCGAAACACCGGCCTCCTGCCAAAACTTTAAGCCATCAAGTGGCGGCATCACTCAAGTCATGATTACAGCGGGCAGCCCTTTCCCCACCCGCGCCTTGTGCATCTGCCACTCATCACGCACCTTGCAGCTTCAAGGGATCCAGGGAATGAGGCATCAGACCTGCCAAGCAGTCCTGCTACGAGTACATACCGTAGTCTTGGCGTCTGCATCTTAGACTTCAACATCGCGTCGAACAAGATTTAACGCAGTTGGCTCTTGAGAGTAGCTGCAACAGCACATTGAAAAGCCAAACTTCGACCAGCCTCATCGCGCCATGCAAGAGGCCAAAGGAGATACGCTGCCTCAAAGAATCGCAGGTCTGAGGCCGGCTGAAGACAATAACTGGCAGAGGACCACTGCTACGTGATTCTGCGATCCAATGGCAAAGCAAGGACATGCATAGCTTGGCATTCTTGGAAGCGGACACTGTAAAGAACTGTATGCCATGAACACTTTAGCTCAGCCAGTTCTGGGGCACCACGCGAAGGACAAGTATTCAGCGCAGGCAAGCAGACACTGAGGGATCTGGTATTGGTTGGTGATGACCTGCCTTAGTTGTGCACAAGGTAGCAAGGACACTTTGCCAGTATGCAATGAATTCAGGCATTTCTGACCACGACATAGCTCGGCTTAAGATATTCTCAAAGACTGCTTTTGTGATATCCGTAGAAGCTGCCTGCCAACATGAAGCCACTTCCACTTTACTACTGCTAAAGTGGATGCAGTGAATCTTGCGATCATAGCAAGATTATCCACATATGGTCTGGGAGAAACGCGAGGACATGCTTGCCAGGGTGCTGCTTCAGAAGGAGCAGTGCCTCGGCTGACTGAGCCATCTCTGTTATGTTTCTCCACTGGCTTCAAAAATTGTCCAGGCCAAGAGAACCCACATAATTGCTATGTGTTGCGCTAGTCAACAGTTGGCCACTGGCATGGTTGCAGATTTCGAAGAAAAGCTCTTTAGAGCTGTGGGATGCTGCAAGCTTCTCGGAAATCGGCAGAATGTTTCCAAGGCACAATGAAGCTGACAAGGATCATGTCACTGACGAACGTGAACAAGAATAGGCACCTGAAACGACTCGGAACACAAGAGTGCAGCCAAACGGTCAGGATGGCCACTGCTTGTGAAGGCCCAGGGAGCAAACTATCCCACAAACACACTCACCAGTAGCGCAAGCCCCTCATCACAGACAGCCCTTCAAGCCTTCGCGATCAAGACCAGAATACGTAAGCTGCTTTGTAAGTCTGATGTTATGAGTAGAGTGCAGGCCTCCTTCCTGCTATCAGCGGCGCGCTGCCAGCAGCAAGAACCGTCATGGCAAACACCTGGATTCTTGCATGTCACACAGCTTCCAGCTTGGGGGCTCCAGACGCCATGCTATGCCATCACAAGCGCTGCTCTTGGTATTGCGTTAACTAGGATGCAAGCAGATAACATCGTGACTAATTCTGCAAAGATGCTCGGCAGGCATTTGGAAAAACCTACAAAAAATGCACGACAGTAACTCATGTCAGTGCGAGCGCTCCGGCCACAAGCTCGGATGTGGCCACGAGCAGCCTATAACCCTTTGGGTTCACAAGAAAATGAGAATTCCCGCGATGCACCAACCTTGAGCCTTCCGGGCTATCCATGCACGTCAAAGAAGAGCTACAGTATAAAGCCGCGGCACCATGAAGCATAGCGCCAGCACCAGTGATGGAGTCGAGCCTTGAAGAAAGGCAGTGATGAAGCCGCACCTGGGCTCTGACACACAGCCCAAAGTGACTTCCTCAGGAGCTGCACAAGCTGAGCACCGATTCATTGAACGTATCTACCGATGACTCAGACTTACTGCTCGCAGATCTGCTTGTTAAAGCTGCTGCTAGCTTCAACGTACATCTGAGCCGTGGCCAAAAACCTTTGAACCTTTTGTTCTCGTATCAATCACTATCGCGGAACCATACGTTTTACTGACGCGGTCCCAGCG